AGGTAAATTATCAACAGTACTGAAATGGTTTGGCAAAGTACACCGGGACAGGCAATAGTTTCTATGGTGCTTGGAGTATTGTTTTAATAGCAATCTAATCTGCCTTTTTCCTTCCCTGCGCATTTATAAAAATTCATCATGTAAGATATTTCAGATCTTAATTTAGTCTTATATGATAGATTTTCCGTAAACATCGTAAGGTCATAGAGATTATCCAGATTAAGTAGTATGTCCTGGAGTATATCTATATACTTTTCCCTCCTAGAAGCGGATATAGAATGGTAACTACAAATGGTAACTATAGTTACCATTCTATATCCGCTTCTAGGAGGGAAAAGTATATAGATATACTCCAGGACATACTACTTAATCTGGATAATCTGGTTTATACTGAGAGACCGTAGAGATTCATTGGACTCAAGGCAACCAAGTGGGTTTACCAGTAGATATAGCTATTACCTGCTATTCACGATTTTCTAGCTTTGCTAACATCACTAATTCATCCAAGGCTGCAAAACTCCCTGGAGTGAAACAGGTTACAGAATGAGGTTAATTAAAAGGCTAGCAATGGATGGTATTTTCCCTTAATAACTGGTTTGTTTGCAAAACCATCCCCGAGCTCTTTAATTCTTTGAATAAAATATCAGAATAATCACAACCACTGTAGACAAATTATGCTAAACTATCCTGCAAGTTGAGATTTATAATATAGAGCAAAACTGGTCAATATAATGGAGTTTAATGTTGGTAATTTAAGACAACATACCATATTTTAATTAGATGGGGAGTGGAGTGTTTGTAAACAGCATAAAACGGGTCTGAAAGCAAGAGATGCGGGGGGTTGGGAACAGGCAGGATAGGGGTCAAGTAAACTGAATGAAATCAGAGATTAACATCCAATTATACATCTACATTATATGTCTAGTAAGGGGTAGAAGCATTTAAAGGCATACAGATTTCAACTTGATTTTAGGGTGTTAGGGAACACCCTTTCCACTCCAACTGTGCTGCTGTTTTACTGTGTAAGCGCCATTCACTTTCCTTCTTTTTTGTACAGATTTCAACATATTTGAACAAGCACTAGTGGATTATAGCATATAGCTGTAGACTACATAAAATTCTGGTAATGAGATAAAAAAACAAATCTGAATCCACACATAGTCAGAGCTGTCATAACTCATGGGCACGCTGAGCAGGTACCCAGGGGCCCCACGGGCACAGGGGCCTCCTAGGTTTGCCAATTTTTCAGTATATTATTCTGAGAAATTCATTCAGAACCTTCAAACCCTCTTTATTAGGTGAGCTAATCACCTCAGTATCAGCTATTATCTGTACATGTGATCATGCGACTATTTTTTTTCAAAACTGCTAAAAAAAATCATCTTTGCAGCGTTTTGGCAGCTTTCACTCGTGTATGGAAAATGACATTTTAAAGACCATTGATTTCAAACCAATATTAAACCAATTCTCTGCAAAGAAATGACCCAGAACCTTATCTCGGGAGGGGTACTGGTAGATTATTTAAAGAAACAATCCTGGCACAGTAACAGTACAGAGAGCTGTAGTGGTTATGGTTCCAGAAGTGCGGTGGAGCCCTCCCAGAGTAAGCATTCAAACCGTTTAAGAACAGCTTGACAACTTACCTGGGGTCTGCCGGGATAGATACACTAGTATTGTATGGGGCCAGTAGTAGGGGATAAAGGCAGTAGTGTGTGAGGGGTGCAATGTGTGTGTGTGAGGGGTGCACTGTGTGTGTGTGAGGGATACAGTGTGCGTGTGCATGAGGGGTGCAATGTGTGTAAGATGGGTGTAGTGGGTGTGTGTATGGTAAGCAGGGTGTATGTCAAGGGTGCCATGTGTGTGCGCCAGGGATGCGGTGTGTGTGTACGTGGGACAGTGTGTGTTTGGGGCAGAAAGGGGTGCAGTGTGTGTTTGAGGCAGTGTGTATGGGGGGCAGTGTGTGTGTAGGGGGGCAGTTTGTGTGTGTGGGGGCAGTGTGTGTTTGGGGGGGCAGTGTGTGTTTGGGGAAGTTTGTGTATGAGGCAGTGTGAGTATAGGGGGCAGTGTGTGTGTGGTGCAGTGTGTATATGGGGGACAGTGTGTGTTTGATACAGTGTGTGTATGGGGGCAGGGCTGTCTATAATATTCTTTAATATTGATTGGACCCTAGGCTAGAATTTACTTGGGCCCCCTGGATCCTGCCCTCCCACTCCCTAGCATGCAATCCCCCCTCTCCCCCACCCCCCCCTGTTTTGGTGCCTAAGATAACCCTTTAGATTAAGTATATTCTGGTAATCTTGTTTTAAGGACTAGTAGAATCATTTGAAAAATTGCCAGCTCCAAAACAGAGGTAAACTGATTTTCATGAATTTCATGATATTATATAATATAGACACCACATTAAAAACTAAGTGGAAAAATATGAGGGAGCAGGAGGAATGCGATCTTCCTATTCAGCGCCACTTTGCATTATCAGGCATGCGCTTCACGACCATGGTAGGACATCGGAGGGATACATGTCATGGAGAAGAAGCCTCTGCTGTCTGCACAGTGTCTCTCATCAATCAAATCACACTTCGCGTTTGGACTTACTTTTCCTACTGTCTATTAATGACTGATGAGTTTTGGAAATCAATGACTTTGCACTGTAAGATTAGAAGTTACTAATCTACCTTTCCGCTAAGAATCCATATTGGATCTAATATGGAAATCGTTTTTTAGGCCAACTAAAATCATAATCAATTACTTGACTGCTGTCTAGATGTAATGCCCAAACCCCACTTGTTGCCCCTTTTCCCAATGACACACGAGAGACCATATTAATTTGGGTAAGGGCAACGGCCACAGCTTTATTTATTCTTACATGCCAGCAACAAAACCATACTCTCAGCTGTTGGGGGCACCGGGGCTCAAGAGGCAGCTGCCTTGGCCCCCCGGGAGCAACTGGGCCCGGGGCAGCTTCCCCTTTTGCCCTGCGTTAAAGGCGGCCCTGATGGGAGGCAGTGTGTGTGTGTGTGTATAGAGGAGCAGTGTGTGAATGTGTAGGGAGTTATTGTGTGTTGGCGGCTGATTTAAATTTTTTTTTTGTTTTATTAAATTAAAATAACTATGGTTTATTTCCCCCCTCCCTTCTTACCTTTGCACAAGGAGGGGGGATATCGACTGTGCTCGGATAGCGACGGCCCTGCATTGGCTGCAGTTGCCCAAATCCTCCCGCCCGAATCCGCCACTGTGTCCAATTGGGGGTGCAATATCAGTTTCCTTGTGGTTCTTGATAGAATGGTTATGTAGGTTCATTATTTAGCAAGTATCCCCCAAAGTACGATTCTTTGTTGCGTCATGTATAACACAATGTGTAAATAATATAAGCAATGTATACAGGAAAATGTGACAGTATAAAGGGGTAATGTTGGGAGCAATATGCCTATGTATCTGGAAGTAAATATGGGAGTAATATAACAAGATATGGAGCAATATAAAGATGTGTAATGTGGAAGACAGTATCCCTACATATGGAGCAATATATGGGGCAAAGTAACAATAAATCAGGCAATGTGACAATAAAACAGAACATATGGAGCAATGCATATGGGACAATGCGACAACATGTAGGGGTAATGTGGAGGGCAAAGTGACTATATTCTGGGGGCTGTACGACAATATATAAGGCAATGGAATAATTTGAGGAATGTTGCAATATGGAAGCAATATGGTGCTGTTTGATTACATGGGGAAAACATTTTAAAAAAACATCAATCTTTACATTGTGGCTAAACCATTCGTTGCATTGTCTGTCTGACAGCCACTAGATGCACGTCCTCCTTAAGCCCTTTAATTTCAAAAGTCTTCACCCTCTGTATTATCATGTTGATCGCCATTAAGCTAAGCTTTGCAGTGCAGGGCTAGTTCATTGACAGAGAGCTGACACCAAATTAGAAAAAGGGGAATTGGGGGCACACCCGGAACATGCATTCTAAGCTGTGGTCCTAGTGTAAAGACTAAACTATATACAAAATACAAATTAGGGAACAGTGCACACACCCCCAAAAAAATACAGTTTCATATTTTACAAAGCTGCTTAAAAATCACATATCTTAGGAAACAAATATGGGGATTCAGTTACACCACCATATGGTCATATTGTGATAAGCCCACCACTGCGTCGCAGTGCCTTAATATAAATGATGTCCTAGTACACCAATATAAAGCAAATCCGCTCTAAAATAGTTTAACTTCTTACAAAGTGGAAGGGGGTACATTGCACTTTAAAAATATACTTATTTTTAACAGTCGAGTATTTATTTTTAACGTTAGGGTGTTCCTTTGATCCTCACATATAAGCTCCCCCTTTTTAAAACCATTCGATAAAGTGTAAATTAGTAAATGATTAGTAAAAATATTACTTTTTTTAAAACAAAACTTTTTTACACAGCCCCCATATGGTTACCCTAATGTACTAATTGCATAGAAAATATAACAGTGACTTAGTGATTTAATTTTTCCCCTTTAAACAAAATCCCACCAGCCTGTCTTACTCCAAAATTACAGCAACACAGATCAAATCAACTGACAGATTCCATTGGGTGCATTCCACAACTGATCAGGTATAGAGATTAGGATTCTGGTTAATCGGGAATTCCCATCAGATAAGAATTCTCATACACAATTACATTGAGGAATTCTCTTTTGTTTAAACAGTGATTGTGCTATGTGGGTTTTCCCTCTGTAGATAAAGTTACACATGCAGATACTCCCTCTAGAAAGGGTATATAAACCAAAGCAGAATGGGCTGAGGGACCCAGCTCAACCTCCAGCAGACAACTCTTCTGTTCTAGAATTCTCACCATCTCTGCAGAACCAAAATGAGCTTCTCAAGCCGCAGCGCTTCCCAGTACTCCCGTTTTGGAGTGGCATCACCTATGGTGCACAGAGCCGGCAGTATAGCTGGAGGCGCTGGGAGTTACAGAATTTCCTCCTCTAATGCCCCTTTAGTTAGCTCGGGCATTGCCGCAGGATTTAATGCTCATGAGAGTATCGGCCTCCAGAACAATGGCAAAGAGACCATGCAGAACTTGAATGATCGATTGGCCACTTACCTGGACAGAGTAAGTATAAATGCAAGGTTTGGGATTTTATTGCCCACTGAATTATGTTAAGGTCTTTTAGAAATATTTGCTTATTGCATTAATGTTTAATGTAATACTCAATTTAACCTCTCTCTATAACTCCTTATATTACTCCATATAACCTCTCTCTGTAACTCCTTATATTACTCCATATAACCTCTCTCTATAACTCCTCCTATCACTCCATATAACCTCTCCCTATAACTCCTTGTATTACTCCATATAACCTCTCTCTATAACTCCTCCTATTACTCCATGTAATCTCTCCCAATAACTCCTCCTATTACTCCATATAACCTCTCTATAACTCCTCCTATTACTCCATATAACCTCTCTCTATAACTCCTCCAATTACTCCATATAACCTCTCTCTATAACTCCTCCAATTACTCCATATAACCTATCTCTATTACTCCTATTACTCCATATAACATCTCACTATAACTCCTCCTATTACTCCATATAGCCTCTCCCTATAACTCCTCCTATTACTCCATATAACCTCTCTCTATAACTCCTCCTATTACTCCATATAACCTCTCCCTATAACTCCTCTTATTACTCCATATAACCTCTCCCTATAACTCCTCCTATTACTCCATATAACCTCTCCCTATAACTGCTCCTATTACTCCATGTAACCTCTCTCAATAACTCCTATTACTCCATATAACCTCTCCCAATAACTCCTCCTATTACTCCATATAACCTCTCTCTATAACTCCTCCTATTACTCCATATAACCTCTTCCCATAACTCCTCCTATTACTCCATATAATCTCTCACTATAACTCCTCCTATTACTCCATATAATCTCTCACTATAACTCCTCCTATTACTCCATATAACCTCTCCCTATAACTCCCCCTATTACTCCATATAACCTCTCCCTATAACTCCTCCTATTACTCCATATAACCTCTCTCTATAACTCCTCCTGTTACTCCATATAACCTCTCTCTATAACTCCTCCTATTACTCCATATAACCTCTCTCTATAACTCCTCCTATTACTTTATATAACCTCTCTCTATAACTCCACCTATTACTCCATATAACCTCTCTCTATAACTCCTCCTATTACTCCATATAACCTCTCTCTATAACTCCTCCTATTACTCCATATAACCTCTCCCTATAACTCCTCCTATTACTCCATATAACCTCTCTCTATAACTCCTCCTATTACTCCATATAACCTCTCTCTATAACTCCTCCTATTACTCCATATAACCTCTCCCTATATCTCCTCCTATTACTCCATATAACCTCTCCATATAACTCCTCCTATTACTCCATATAACCTCTCTCTATAACTCCTCCTATTACTCCATATAACCTCTCCCTATAACTCCTCCTATTACTCCGTATAACCTCTCCCTATAATTCCTCCTATTTCTCCATATAACCTCTCTCTATAACTCCTCCTATTACTCATATAACCTCTCCCTATAATTCCTCCTGTTACACCATATAACGTCTCCCTATAACTCCTCCTATTACTCCATATAACCTCTCCCTACAACTCCTCCTATTACTCCATATAACCTCTCCCTATAACTCCTCCTATTACTCCATATAACCTCTCCCTATAACTCCTCCTATTACTCCATATAACCTCTCCCTATAACTCCTCCTATTGCTCCATATAACCTCTCTCTATAACTCCTCCTATTACTCCATATAACCTCTCTCTATAACTCCTCCTATTACTCCATATAACCTCTCTCTATAACTCCTCCTATTTCTCCATATAACCTCTCCCTATAACTCCTCCTATTACTCCATATAACCTCTCTCTATAACTCCTCCTATTACTCCATATAACCTCTCTCTATAACTCCTCCTATTACTCCATATAACCTATCTCTATTACTCCTATTACTCCATATAACCTCTCTCTATAACTCCTCCTATTACTCCATATAATCTCTCACTATAACTCCTCCTATTACTCCATATAACCTCTCTCTATAACTCCTCCTATTACTCCATATAACCTCTCCCTATAACTCCTCCTATTACTCCATATAACATCTCACTATAACTCCTCCTATTACTCCATATAACCTCTCACTATAACTCCTCCTATTACTCCATATAGCCTCTACCTATAACTCATCCTATTACTCCATATAACCTCTCTCTATAACTCCTCCTATTACTCCATATAACCTCTCCCTATAACTCCTCCTATTACTCCATATAACCTATCTCTATAACTCCTCCTATTACTCCATATAATCTCTCCCTATAACTCCTCCTATTACTCCATATAACCTCTCTATAACTCCTCCTATTACTCCATATAACCTCTCCCTATAACTCCTCCTATTACTCCATATAACCTCTCCCTATAACTCCTCCTATTACTCCATATAACCTCTCACTATAACTCCTCCTATTACTCCATATAACCTCTCCCTATAACTCCTCCTATTACTCCATATAACCTCTCTATAACTCCTCCTATTACTCCATATAAGCTCTCCCTATAACTCCTCCTATTACTCCATATAACCTCTCCCTATAACTCCTCCTATTTCTCCATATAACCTCTCTCTATAATGCCTATTACTCCATTACCACTGGGATACATCCTTTCTGTTTGACACCAATATGTTTTAACCGATTGATGTTCATGGACTAAAGTCTTCCATATTCTTTTACATTAGGTGCGTTCTCTGGAGAAAGCCAACAGTGATCTGGAATATAAAATCAGGCAGTTTTATGAGAAGAAAGCATCCACTAGCGACCATGATTATAGCCACTATTATGATACCATTAAAAAACTGCGCTCCCAGGTAAGCAGGTCGCCGATTTTCTTTTACCATTTTATTCTCTTGCAATATATTTATCCTGAGATTTAAAGATCATTAAAAAAAATCAACATCAGTTATTACTATCCATGCAACATTGCTAGCAGTTCTCATCATTAATGGGAAATATTTAAAGTAAAATGGGGAAAAATGAACCACAGCATGAGTATTTTAGCAGAAATTTTGCAATCCTGTTTTCAGTTCAAACAAATCAGTTTTTAGTCAATAAACTGCAGTGTGCACAGTATTGTTCTTAAATTTGAAATTCACTTTAAATTCACTTGGATTTCTCTAAAATTCTAACTTTATTGAATCACCCTGTTTGCATGCACATTATAGATACAAATATTCTCTTCTTCGCATTCTAAAATGTGTTGCGTTAATGTTCGGGAGGGCTTAGGGTTATGGGTACAGATTCAAGGCCAAAGTAGCCGAACTGGAAGCATAGCTGACTGGGAGAATTTTTCCGCTTCAAATATTTTGATATTAAATTAGAAATCCAATTTAAATTCCCTGCAAAATCTCACTTTATTGAAAAACACTGCCATTTTTTTTAATATTGGCAATAACATTTCTGTTTTTAAATAGCCGAAATAGAAAGCTTATGTAGCCTAATAAAAAGTGCAAATTTGACTGAAATAAACAAATTCGATTTTTGTGAATAGCTGAATGTATTCACTTTGCACACTTTCTGTAGAAACAGCCGAATTTGAACAGTCAAACACCATTCAGCTGCCTGTCATTGCTCAGTAAATAGAAGATGTCAATTTTGTTCTGTTCTTTGGAAGCCTTTCTTTGGTTGACTTTTTATGTTGCCAATCACTTGCTAGGACTGTTGCAAAATGCAGGCAGACTATGGGAAGAGCTTTTAGCAGTAATCTAAATCCTCTCTTATCTTGTCCATATTCACAAACACATACAGACACACAGATACAGCAGACATTCACACACACACACACACACACACACACACACACACACACACACAGATACAGACATTCACACATACACACACACACACACACACACAGACATTCACACACACACACACTGTTAAAATTTTTAGTCACCCTCCTGTTTCCTACCTTTAGGTGCAGGAGGGTGACTTCCCTGGGGTCCAGTGGCTGCCTTTGGCTGATAGGAGTCAGAGCTCTCACTCTGTCTCCCTTCTCTCCTCCCCGGCGCTTTCCACCCACATGGCTCTATTAGCTGGGAGGAAATGACGACTTCCTCCCAGCGGGCGCTGTTACGTCATCACTGGGGCCAGTCGCGCTCTTAAAGTGCCCCAGCGATGGCCAGACCCCGGGTAATTCATTGCCATCGTGTGGCCCCAAGATCACGGGTCACCCGATGGGCCCCTTCAATGAGGCCCAGTCGGTTGTTCTGAGCAATGCACCACAACCCTGGTTACAGGGGTCGGCAGGGCGGCCAGGCCCCCTGGAGTGATGGGCCCGGTCACAGCTGCGACCCCTGCGACCGCGGAAGTCCTGTCACTGCTTAAGGCACCAAGACCACTTCATCTAATTGGAGTGGCCTAGGTGCAGTGCCCCTGTCCACTTAACCCGGCAATTTAAAACATTGTAGTTTAATAGACACTGCAATGTTTACATTGCAAAGTTAAGACAAACTCTGGTGGCTGTCTTCCAGACAGCAACTAGAGGCGCTTCCTGGCTTTTAACGGAGTTTCACTCGGTGAAACAACTTTGGGCCATCGGCATGACGATAGCAGCATTGTCCATTTGCATGACGTCTTGGAATACAAAACTGAATTCCTAACACTATAGTGTCCCTCTGTCTTTTCCTTTAGATCCCCCATGTCCGGCGATTTAAGGGTTAAGCCCCCATTTTTCGCTTACTTAGGTTGCTGTACAAATTACTAAATTGCTGCATTTCGTCTTCCTTAAAGTAAATTATGTTACACTTTATACTAAATATTGTACGATAATTGCTTCTAATGGCCGTAAGACTTTCTATATTATTTGCCGTATGCTAGGCTGATGTGTGTATGATAAAAATAATTAAACTGGATTTTGGATCTTGTGGATGGTGTCTGGGTGTTCAGTAACAAAGACATTAAAAATGTCTTCAAATATATATTCTTATTTTCCATTTTTCTATTATCCTTAGATCGAGGGTGCCACCATCAATAACACCAAAGTACTCCTGCAGATTGATAATGCCAAACTTGCCGCCGATGACTTTAAAAATAAGTAAGTAACTTCTGACTTGATCAAATTATTAAGAATTAAGAATTATTACAAAATATATTTAAATGGTCTATTGCATGGATAGGCAACCTTCGGCACTCCAGATGTTGTGGACTACATCCCCATAATGCTATTACACCCATAATGCTGGCAAAGAATCATGGGAGGTATAGTCCAAAACATCTGGAGAGCCGAAGGTTGCCCATGCGTGGTCTATTGTGTTCTGATATACTAAACAATACTGCATATGCTAGATTGCAGAATGTGTAGTAAATATAAGTAGCACGTAATGTTGGATGGTTGCTATTAAATCTATTTACATTATCTAGAACTGCTGCCAAGTGCTCAATTATATATCCCCGATAAACAGGTTTGTGGGTTATGTTCAATTATCCCATCAATATTAATGGTATGCTTACAATTGCCTGACTAGTGTCAGCTACTTCCTGATCTGGGAAGATCTCACAAGAGCAAGATTCTAATCTCTTAAATAAATAATACAATTCATTATATTGTCATTTTTTTGCAGGTTTGAGGCAGAGTTGGCCATCAGGGTTGGAGTGGACAATGACATCTCCGGACTACGTAGGGTCCTGGACGACCTCACGATTAAAAAGTCAGACTTGGAGCTAGATATTGAAGGCTTGAAAGAAGAACTGATTTTCTTGAAGAAGAACCACGAAGAGGTAAAATGCTATTATATATATTATCTTAGTTCATCTCAGTTAATACCTGTAAATTAAAATGTCTTCATAGGAAGTATTTGTTTTTTGTTCCTGTGTATTTTTTAAGGGTCGTCATCATCATCTTTTTTTTTTCCCCACAGGAAATCTCAGCTCTAAAAGGACAGGCTGGAGGCACGGTCAATGTAGAACTGGATTCTGCCCCACCAGTAGACCTATCAAAGATTCTGGCAGAAGTACGAGAGCAGTATGAGTCCATGATTGAAAAGAACCGCCAAGAAGTGGAGACTTGGCACAGAGAAAAGGTAAACAAGCATCAAGTGTTGACTTCTTAAGAGCCACCTTTAAACCATCTCCTTATTATAATGCAGTGCTTAAAGGGACACTCAACTGCCCAAATGAAAAAAACAAAACTAAAAACCCAAATTAATTATGCATGGTTTTATTGGAGTTATATCAAAAAAAAAAAAAAAAATCTTGCAAAAGCTGCAGATTTATTGTCTGAAGCCTCAGTGTAAGCTGATCTATTGATCTGACTCCGTACCACAACCAGTCACTATGCTCTAATTATCCGTTAAGTATTTCAAAGCCAAGTTACGGGGACAAAAGCTGTTAATAAGTGGACAGTTATTGGTAGTAATAAGGTAGTTACTTTGTGAAAAGAGAAAGCAAGGCTGAAGTGGAAGGATTATATAGTTGAAAGCTTAAAATGTGTAGAATATGAAATATGAAGTCAAATATACACTTAGGTTAAGGTGGTGCCAAAGCGTACCTGGGGTATCCAATTAACATCTTCCGAGGTAGTAAATCATTATATCAATAATAGTAAGAGGAATTTGATATGTCAATAAACTGTTGATAGGTGCTCTTAAGGGCAATAATTCAAATTTTATATAAAGGATTAAAAAAATTATTATATTGATTAATGAAGGTTAAATAAATTAATCCTGTATAACTGTGTTGAAGCTAATCTCTTGTTAAACATTCGGTTAATCTACCTCAAAATAATGGAAACAGTCATGTTGACATATTATTTTGATGATGTGAATTGTCAAGCAATTGGTGGCCCATTTCATTGCTTTTTAATGTGGGTGTCCTTCCACCTTCTTTTGTAGTGTGACGGTCTGAAGCAGGAAGTTACCATCAATGATTATGCTCTTAAGAGTTCAAAATCAGAGATCACTGAGCTGAGGCGCACTGTACAGGGTCTGGAAATCGAGCTGCAATCTCTGCTGAACATGGTCAGTATCTATCCATCCATCCACTCACCCATCCATCCACCCACCCACCAATTCATTCATCCATCCACAAACCTACCCATCCATCCACCCACCCAAGATCTGCCCACCAATTCATCCATCCAACCATCCATCCACCCGCTCTCCCAAGACCCACCCACCAATCCATCCATTCACTCACCCACCTACCCATTCATCTATCCACCCACCGACCCACATATCCATCCACCCACCCACTAATCCATCCAACCATCCATCCATCCACCCACCAATACATCCATCATCCCACCCACCCGCCCACCAATACATTTATCCATCCATCCACCCAACTATCCATCCATCCACCCACCCAAGACCCACCCACCCACTAATCCATCCACCCATCCATCGAAAAACATATTCAATCTTCCTTGAATTTAAGTTTATTTGGTACTAATCAGTCATCTTCATTTATTATAGAAAGTTGCTCTGGAGGGAACGTTATCTGAGACAGAGGGTCGATATGGAGCTGAACTAGAGCAACTCCAAGTTTTAGTCTCTCAAGTGGAGATTGATCTTCAAAATGTGCGGTCTGATTCAGAACGCAACTCTCTGGAATACAGACGTTTGGTCAATATTAAAACCAGACTGGAAATGGAGATCGCCACCTACAGACGCCTGCTGGATGGAGACGATAACAGGTAATGTCTATGACGTAGCAGTTTTACTTTGTACCAAACCATCCGCAATGAGATCAGTAATTCTTTGTAATAATTTCAAGTGGACAGTCTTGTTTATGGAACTGTTTCAATAATATCTCAGTGTAGTTTTGGCTGTAGGAGTCTTCATAAGATTATAGATATTGACATTAATTTAATTTCAGTACAATATTTATTAAATTATGTATTTTATAATATATATATATTAATATTTTTTATATTTTACTTTTTTAGCTATTCAACAGTAGAGACCACACATGGTAAGTAATATATCCTTAAAATTATTACAGCATTAACATTATCAATGTTATAAAGTGTTGAGAACTCTAATGGGATATTTATCATAATTAGTTTAATGTTCAAATCATCTCATACCAGATCATTAGTAGGGAAGATGTCCCCTTGGCAAGAATGTGGACTACTTTTCAAAATACATTTGGTTCTTCAGTTTAGCAGATTTTTTTGGAAGCTCTTGACTTTCTGTTTCTCTACGTGAAGCTGCTTTATCCATTTAAATCTACCCGGCTGTTTAAGGGGCGTTATGTCATAACAGTCCTTGTTTGATAATATTGCGTTGTATAGACTTTCTTTCACAGTAAGAAAATGTCTGCAATTATTCTTCACACTTTGTATTGAAAGCACTCAAGCCAATCGCAGTTTCCTTAATCTATATTTCATCTCTTGATCTCTTGCAGCCGTACATAAACCAGAAATCACATCTTCCACCGCTGTCAAAAAAGTGACTGTTGTTGAAGAAATTGTGAATGGCCAAAAAGTGTCTTCAAAGGTCGAGGAAGTTGTTCAGAAATCCTAATCAATTCAAATCGGAGGGATCCAGAAAAAGTTTGAAACAGAAAAACCCTGAAGAAACCATACAATTGAAAAATGTTTGTCTAAATAAACATCAGGCACTGCCTCAGTTGAAATTTAACAGCACAACAAGCAATTGGTATGTTAACTCAATGCCCTAGCAATTACCTGCAGAATACGTTAAAATAATTAACAAGTGTTTTGTGCATTGAATCTAAAATTCCAGTGCTGAAGTAAAATAAAATTCTTAACTTAAACCTATCTAGGCTCATTTTTTTAAAACAATGTTTTTGTAGTGCATTGACAAAACCACAGACAGGTTCAGAGAGGTCACCTTGAAACAAAGAAAAAGGTATCAGGGAAAAAGCAATAAACATGTCAGAATATCAGCACGATGTTAAAATTATAATAAGATGAAGCTTATCCACATACAGTAAGAAATAAAGTGGCGTATCACAGATACGTTCATGCTTGTAACTGTAAACCACCAAGAAAAACAAACCAGTAAAACATACACTGTATTGTGCAAACCTGGATCATTTTATCTCTAACCAAGATAAGATGGCTGGGCATGAAAGCTTAGTATCATCCGACCCCCAAGCTTGTACGGCTGCTGTAGCAAAAAGGAAACAGCTTAGTTTGGTATGGTAGTATCGTAAAACTCCACCTCTCCAGGCCCAGGCCAGGGTGAGAACCCACACCGAAACTCCACCAACCCCTCCACTCTGTCTGAGTGGTCCAGGTCTAGAGAGTCCTCCACATAGATCGTCCTGAGGTCGTAAGTGATATACAGTAAGCATGTGAAACTCAAAGGCGAACATGGGCCAAATAAACAAGGTTTTAGTTTATGTGGGCATCAAAAAAAAGAGTTTTCGACCTACATCAACACAAACTAAAATTAATTGCATCATTCTCATGCAAACAATATGTAATCCTGGGTACATATATATAATTTATGCAAAAGTTTCACTTTATGTTACTTACTATGCCCCCCAATCTAATACACAGCCTGCCGTAGCCCCATCCCCCCACTCTAATACACTGTGCACTCCCCCCAATTTAATACACTACCCCCTCCCTCCATTCTAATTTAACACACTGCCCCTACTCCCACCACTCTAACTTAATACACTGTCGCCCCTCCCTCCCTCCTTACAGTTTAATGCACTGTCCCCTACCTCCCCCAATTTAATACACTGCCCCCTTCCACCACTTTAATACACTGCCCCTCCCATAACTCTAATACACTGCCCCCTCCCACCACTCTAATACACTGCTCCCTGCCCCAATGTAATACACTGCCCCCTCCCTCTATTCAAATTTAATACATTGTCCCCTCTCCTACCCCCCAATTTACTACACTATCCCCTCACTCTAATACACTGCCCCACTCCCCTACCCCAATTTAAGACATTGCCCGACTCCCACCCCAATTAAATAAACTACACTACAGGAAGGTTTCCCCAAACCCCTCTTCCCCTACCAGAAGCCGCCTTCCAATCCAGTCCTGCACAATCTTCTTTGCTGAAGCAGGCCACATGCTCCTCTGGAACTACAAGCGGTGCTCTGCACGCATCCAGCCAGCCTGTGCACTGTCGCGCCGTCACGCAGCAGTCGGATATAATTCCATACACTGTATGTGCATATCAGATGGCCGGCATGAAATAATGCATTGTGCTTTTGCGGGTCACAGGAGCACATGATCAGCCGCAGCCAGCCAGAGAGCCACAGCACAAAGCGGCCCCAGGGCAGGCGGCCTACCGGGAAAAATTTCCTGGTATCCCGGTAGGCAAGTCTGGCCCTGGGCCGCAAAGATACTCATTGTGGGGTGCAGGTTTGACATGCTTGAAGTACAGGGTTAGAACCCTTCTGGGTTCCTGGCCCAGAGGGAGAAAAATGGACTGAGACTTCACCTAAAGCCAGCTTACGAGCAGTTAAGGTGAGCTGAAGAGCAAGATTACATATGAGTTGCCAAAGTTTCTCACAAATAATGTCAAATGCCACTAGAAATGTTGCATCCCACCACCTCAATGAGCCTTGCACTATGATTTGTCATGGAGCTGATGAAGAGGCCATCTTGGTTTCATGATGATGAATTAGAGCAACCAGGTAAAAGAGTGTCTCTCCTGTAGACAACTCACCATAGATCCTTCCTGGTGGGGATTGAGATGACCCCCGTTGGGGGTGGGGGAATGAGGCACAATCAGGATACCACACAGTTAGCCCTCTTCAGGCCAAGAGATCGTCCACTTTTTCCATTCACAGAGCTTACCAGGCAGACTAGGCCCCAACACCTTGACCTGTGTTGCTGTCTGGGAAGGCCGCAATCGCAAGGGCTATAATTCTCTCATGGAGGGCCCACACCCAAGTTTCTGAATCAAATATGGAACCAGCATACCAGTAGACAATTGACCTGGGCCCACTGTTGAAAAGGCAGAAAAGTTCAGGAGCTGCTCTGTAATGCGACCAGTCTTATACCTTCTTATATTTGTTTGAAACAGACTTCTCACAATACACTTTTTCTTTATGGGGTGAATAGGGCCAGGTCTACCACAGGTGCCTGTACCTAGGTCTGTCTACCTTCCCTGACTACAAATGTACATTGTTTTATTTCTATACTCTCTTAACTGGCCTTCAATTCATATATCCAGCAACAAAACAGTTTATTTTTTTTGGTTGACAGGTGAGGGTACCTAGGAATTCCGTGCTTATAGGCACCTGAGAGAGGACAAAACACTCACATTCAATCAGAAGCAGTGTATTATATACACAGGTGTGCTAATCGGTCAATAGCTCCACACATGACACTTTGATGATTTCAAAATATGCAAACTTGTACGTATTAAATGAAACAAGGGCACAGTGTTGTATATATGTTGACAATTGTAAAACATACAACAAGTTGAAACCTGAAATAGCAACTCGTTTTGTTTGTGAACCAGTTTCGAGATCCCACATGCTTTATGCAAACATGCATTGAATACACAGCACCCTGAAGAAATGACATTCTTTCTATATGTAATTACATAGTATAATAATAACAAGTATAACATAAATTCTATGTTACAATATTGCTTCTGGCTAGAATTTCCTGTCTATCATTGATGAGGCAGCGAGATCGAGAGTTTGCAGGTTACAGAATTGCGCAATGCTAATTACACTACAGGTGGATGTAATTTGTTATCAGAGGTAATGATTATTTTTCATGTAAAACAAGATAAACTTATTGTGCAATATATTTATAATAATCTCTAAGCACTGTAACAATAAGAAAAAGTCAACGGGGGAAGGGGAAATTGGACCCTAATTTAAATTTATTAAATAATGTAATAAAAATAACGCAATTAAAAAAAATGAAATAAAAAACATAAAAAAAAAAAATACAATGAAATACTATTCCTTTGAAGAGACTGCCTGCAGGTATAGAGACATCTCCCTCCCTCACCTTGAAAAGATGCACCAATAAGGAGACTCTAATTCTGCTCTATGAGATATGATATTTTTATGTAAACTCCTTGACCAGCAGGATGTTTGGGATAGTTACCCCCAAAGAGTTGTTCATTTTATCATATAGGACAGGGCTGCCCAATAGGTAGATCTCCAGATTTGTAGAACTATAATTCCCATGATGCTTTGACATTCTAAATGCATTCTGAAGACATGCAAAGCATCATGGGATTCTACAACGTCTGGGGATCTACCTATTGGACACCCCTGATATAGGATGTGTGGGACCGCTTTGCAAATCATTAGTGGCCACACTGCAGCTGATACCATGAACACTCAGAAAGGTTCAAAATGTTGTGAACTGGACAGTGTGCATCTATCAGCAGGGCCGTGGTCTGTGTACAGGGCCGGACTGGCCCACCGGGATATCGGGAAATTTCCCGGTGGGCCGTCGGCACCTGGCTCAGACCGTGACACAGACAGACACACCATGACAGACAGTGACACACACACCATGACACAGAGACACAAACAATGATGTCCTGACGAAAGCTTGAGGGGATCAAGCTGAAACGTTGACCTTGTGTTGTTTTAGTGGAGGTAATAAAAGTTATATTTTATATTAGTCCTTGGAGTGCTATCTCTGGCAATATTTTTTGCATTTTTGGCTGACAAGCACCGGGCATTGAATATTGAATTGGTGGAGTGCAAGATCCGTTTGGTTTATATATCTCAATCATCTAGGGTTGCAAGACATAGCCTTACATATTACATGCGACAATATATGGCGCAATGACTTATGGGGCTGGCATAGATTTTTTTTCCAGGGCTGCTTTGGAATCCCCAGTCCGGCCCTGTCTGTGTATGTGCGGTATATAGCTCAAGATTCTATTCTGTCTATAACTATCACACAGATGGAACTCAGTATTCCTGTTGCCTTATTGAAAACTCTGAGCGAATCTTTTAAAGCTGAAGCAATTTTGCCAATTGTTTTTATGCCCACCCCTCATATTACAACCCGAATTTCCCTATCTTCTCTTGATTTTCTGATTTAGGTAAGGAGAGGTGAGGCAGGACTTGGGTATTTTGAAGTTTCAATTGATATGACGGCTTACTGCTGCAATCAGGTGTCTCAGCTCAAAGTGCAGAAGTGGGCATTGTCTGCACTTGGTACACGGGTAGATCATGGTGTACCGGGGTATATAATATACACAGATTGATTACCAGGCACTGTGATCACTGAGGCTGTATATCTGAATGACAGTGACTAAAGGTACTCACTGTGATTGGCTTTTTTATTTAAGGTATGACAGGTCTATTAAGGTTTTAGGGGGTGATATAAGTAACTTATATAGGAAATTAATAGGGTAAGTATGGTGTTTTAATATTGTCAATTTTGGCCCACGGTTACCAATGTCCATGATCGTTATTTGTTTATAATAGCGTTAAGGCCACAAAATGATCTTATCACTGTAAATGCGCATTTACTTAGAATGTTACAGCGCAGGGACCAAACTGTCCGCAAAATAGGAACACGAGCTCAACCAGGCCCGAAGCATTTTATAGAGCCTTGACCTTTCCATATGACTTAAACACGGGACGCATTCTTATACTCACCCATTCATATACTTATGGCAGGACTAACTTGATATTTAACCCTACCCTGACAGTACAATGGCCTAGCCGAACAGGGGTCATCTCACACGACATGAGTCACTCAAACATTTAGAGCAAACTAGCCGCAACAACATGGTTGCCATTAATACTGCACTACTCGTACGGCAGCGTAAGCCGCACTAACGAAATAGGCGATA